GCACCTGAGAAGCTTTGACCATTCTGTTCTTTACCAGATTTCACCCTTGTTATACATAATGCATCCCCACCCTACCCCACTGATCATAATTTAGACATTTTGAAATCTACACTACTCCATGATCCTTCCATGGGCACATATGTTTCAGCTTTTTTGGCCCAGTGGTTTCTGAGAAGAAGATTTTCAAAGATTTTTCCTATATATTTCTATGTAAAACTTTGATTCCCCATTGTGGCCCCGCCCTTCCCCCGGGGGTCATGATTCCTACAATTTAGAATTTACACTACCCCAGAATGCTTCCACATAAGCTTCATTTTTTCTGGCCCAGTGGTTCTTGAGAAGAAGATTGTCAAAGATTTTTCCTGTATGTTTCTATATAAAACTTTGATTCCCCATTGTGGCCCCACCCATCCCCCGGGGGTCATGATTTGAACAATTTAGAATCTACACTATCCCAGGATGCTTCCACATAAGTTTCAGCTTTTCTGGCCCAGTGGTTCTTGAGAAGAAGATTTTCAAAGATTTTTCCTATATATTTCTATATAAAACTTTGATTCCCCATTGTGGCCCCGCCCTTCCCCTGGGTGTCGTGATTTGAACAATTTAGAATCTACACTACCCCAGAATGCTTCCACATAAGTTTCAGCTTTTCTGGCCCAGTGATTCTTGAGAAGAAGATTTTCAAAAATTTCCCTATATATTTCTATATAAAACTTTGATTCCCCATTGTGGCCCCACCCATCCCCCGGGGGTCATTATTTGATCAATTTAGAATCTACATTATACCAGAATGCTTCCACATAAGCTTCAGCTTTTCTGGCTCAGTGGTTCTTGAGAAGAAGATTTTCAAAGATTTTTCCTATATATTTCTATGTAAAACTTTGATTCCCCATTGTGGCCCCGCCCTTCCCCCGAGGGTCATGATTTGAACAATTTAGAATCTACACTATACCAGGATGCTTCCATATAAGTTTCCGCTTTTCTGGCCCAGTGGTTCTTGAGAAGAAGATTTTCAAAGATTTTTCCTATATATTTCTATATAAAACTTTGATACCCCATTGTGGCCCCGCCCTTCCCCCGGGGGACATGATTTGAACAATTTAGAAACTACACTACCCCAGGATGCTTCCACATAAGTTTCAGCTTTACTGGCCCAGTGGTTCTTGAGAAGAAGATTTTTTAATGACCCCACCCTATTTTTGTCTTTTCTTGATTATCTCCCCTTGCGAGGGGATATGTCCCTTCATTTTAACAATTTAAATTCCCCTTTACCCAAGGATGCTTTGTACCAAGTTTGGTCAAAATTGGCCCAGTGGTTCTTGAGAGGAGAAGTCGAAAATGTGAAAAGTTTACAGACGGACAGACAGACAGACGGACGGACAGACGGACGGACGACGGACAAAATGTGATCAGAAAAGCTCACTTGAGCCTTCGGCTCAGGTGAGCTAAAAATAAAAAAGCATCCATATATATATACATATATAATCAGTGGCGGATTTAAGGGGAGAGGACCCAGCCCCCCCCCCCCCCCTAAAATTGTCAAAGTTAGCATCAATCAAAATTTCGTCTGGAAAATGTAAATATGTCTACTTGGTAGACCTCATTTTTACCCTACAAAATCTCTAGAATGCAGGAGCTCCCGGGGGCTTTGTCCCCTGTGCCCCCACCAGGGCTTTGCCCTGGACCCACTGGGGGCCTCATGGCAGCCCCCAGACCCCTTGCCTTATTTTGGCGCCACCTCTAACTCCAATTCCTGGATCCGCGCCTGATAATTATATGTAGCTGCAGATCTGTAGCATTATGGTTTTAAATAATATGTCTTTGACCATAACACTACAGATCCTGTAATGCAAAAAAGTGCAATTTATTGCACAATATTTTTTGCGCACTTTTGGGGAGAATTTCTCCACTTTCAGACTAGCTTTGGTCAATCAACTATCTTTCACTCCTTAATTCTAGACACATTCTGAAGCCAATATGTACATTTTATCCATCTCCCAACCATTTATAGTTGTCTCTACATGCAATAAACTCATTTGAAGTGAATTTTTTGCAATCTAACAAATTATTTTAATCAAGCAAGTTTATCACTTGTAGAAACGACTTTAAAAGGTAGGGATATGGAAAAATATACAGATTAGTTAAATGATGGTCTTAGAATTAGGGAGTGAAGGGTAATTAACTGACCGATGCTGAAAAGTGGAGGAATTCTCAAAAAAAAAAATCACAAAAATTATTGCGCAGTCAATTGCACCTTTTTTTTTCATTATGGGCTCTGTAGCTTTATGGTCAAAGACATATATATATAAGCATATCGCTACAGATCTGCAACTAATATATATGGCACCCATTTTATAGTATTGTCTTGTTTTACTAATTTTAGGGAGGTATTTTTTATCTTGGTAAATTGGAAATTGTTTTCTTCAACTTTTAGTTTCACACAGACACATAAGCAAAATTGTTATCATTTGTCAATGCTTTCTGAATACATGTATTGTGTTTATGAAAAGAATGATATACCAGTACTTTCTATGCTTACATGTGATAGAGAATCCTTTTCATTGTCTAAACTGGAGATATCTTTGCTGTAACTTTTCAGACAGCCTTTGCAAATTCCTGCATGAATAAATTCCATATTTATTACCAACAGCTTATTTTTTATTGGTACATTAAAATGATAAACATATAGTTTATAATCAATATTTCATATAATCAAATAAATGTACGTATATTTAATGTTCATCCAGAGAGTGATTTAATTTTCCTCAAGTGAAATAAAAAAAATATAAACAGATCTTGAAATGATAAACATGCAGTTACCTGAACCAATCACCAGTAACACTCCTAAACATTTCAAAATATTTCTGCTCATTTCTGCATTTACTGCTTTTTGGGGTTTTTGAGTTCCCTCATGTGATGGATATGTGCACTTCCGAGGAGGTTTCCAGTGTATCCCAAGGCCATAACGATGGAATGGACATACTGTCATGGATGGATCACATCTTGAAATAATAAATTATTCAATTCTTTATATATTTATTTTAAAAAAAACTCTCTACTTAATCTTTATGAATGAATTTTATGCCCCTTTTGGGAGGGATGTATATTTTCTCTCCCCCCCCCCCCCCATTTGGTTGGCTTGCTTACAAGTACAGGCGCGTAGCATCGTTTTTGGAAGTGGGGGGGCCAACCTGAGAAAAATTTTTTTTACTTACCTGAAAAAAGTTGACAAGCAAAAAAAAAAAAAAAACAAAAAAAAAAAACGAAAAGTTGCCAGAAGTCGAAAATCCTATTTCGTGGGGTGGGGGGGGGGGGGGTAGTGGCTAACTCTTTTCAAGACCAACTATCTTTCAATTCAAACTTTTTGGGGTAAATTTTCTTTATAACACTACCCTTTGCTGAAATGTGGGGGGGTCAACCTTCCTTTCAGTAAACATTTTCTATAGTAAAGGTAATGTCGGCAGAAAAAGTGGGGGGGGGGGGCTGGCCCCCCCTGATACTACGCCCCTGAAGTACTATGGTGAAATATCACAATGATGTGATTTAAAATAGGCCTAGTCAATAGTTTCAACCCTCGACACTTAATACATAAAATATGCGACTAGAAAATCATGGATGCTTGTGTATAGGATTTTTTTTTTTTGGTATATATTATATGGATACACTGTTAGATCTGTGTTCGTCAGGGTAAGATTAACAGTACAACTTTCTTTTAAAAAGACTGAACAGATATTACAAATAAATCTCTATTTGTGATTGTGATATTGTGATTTTACGGGGACCGTAAAAGTCAAACTTAGTTGGACTAGCTAGAGTTTATTTAGGACATGCTTAATCAGAATATCACATAAGTTTTGCTGTAGGTCATCAGTATAAGTCTTCATTAGGCAGCCCGAGAGACAGCTGATTTTTGTCAAATCAATATCGACCCGAAGACAAAACATAAAGCAAACCAAAATGAATACAAATACTGATGCCATTTGAATCATATTAATTATCACTGCATCAAATATAATTACAAATTAAAGAGTGTTTTTATAATTATTTACCGAAATAAACCAATGCGCAGGGCAATCAGGGACCCCTCGCTGTCGGCTGCTGCCGTCACTGCTGTCTGGTGGCCTCCACTTAACTTAATGGCGTGTAGGTGTAAAGATATGTCTCTTTGACAATCGCCCAAAATTTTTAAATCTGTTTCTTTTGGATACGGTTTGTATAATCCGCAGGAACTTCCTGCGTAATGTCCCACACTACATTTTAACCCGTCCTCGTTTTCCATATTTCGCGCATTCAGCGTGCCTGGTAACATCACGCCATCTAGCGACAAACATGTCACATATCCATGAACGATAACCCGATTTCGCCAATATTGCTCGATTTTATCGGGGAAAACAAAGCTGCGGTCGAAATTTTCCAAACTTTTTAGAACTGGATTTAATAGTACAGAAAGTGCTTGATTAATATATAATTGCATTTTAACCAAAAAGGTTTGCTGTTTTTTAAATCAAAGCCCTAAAGATGCATCACATTGTATAGATTTGCATTAACAGTCAACATGCAATTTTTTTAATTACCGACCCGTAAAATCTAAACTAGGCGGAATATTTCCAAACCGACAAATGTTTGTCATATACATGTCCTGTCTAATTCTTACATGATATATGAAGTGATTTCTCGAACCTTGACTTATCACAAAAAATTGATTTTGCCTGATTCTTACGTGGACCTGTACTTAAATGGCTATAACTCCCTTGTTTTTCAACCAAACAGGATGGGATTTAGAACATAGATAAATATAAAAGACTCTTACAAGAAGGTGTAGTCATCATACACGTGCGTGCACGTGAAATGAGTAAAATTTAAAATACACTCGAATTAGTGTATTTTTTATTACTTTTGGATTAAATGCTTTGATATTAAGTATATTAACATATATAGATAGTGTAGACAAGATAATATGGTCGTTACGCACATGAACACGTGTGCAATGCTTAAATTTAAATATATTTTGTATTCTTCTGGGAAGACATTGATTAAGTATAAATTCCATAAAGTATTTCTTATTTAATAGAGATTACAGGGAATATGGCACCAAAAGGGATTTGGGGAGCGTTCGGGGAACATCTGTAACGGTCCCCGTTACAATTAGCACTAGTTATTATTATTAAGTCTTCCGTTCACAACGGAAGACTTATAGTGTTTGTATTGTTTCTTTTTATTATTATTATTATTATTATTATTATTATTATTATTATTCCTCCCAAATTTTGTGAGCGCGATTACGAAGAGATGGTTGGATAGATTTCGACAATTTTTCACATGATAGTAGGCTGATATATGAAGTTTATATAAAATTCCGTTTTTTGAAAAATTCACTTCCGGTCCGAAGTTATGGTCGAATTTTCAATTTTAAAATGACATTTTGTCCGGAATTTTTCTTTAGAACGAGTTGAGGTAAAGATGTGAAACTTACAGAAGTTTTATATTATGACATTGTCCTTGTTTTAAAGTAGGTTTTGTATGTTTCTAGTACTTCCTGTCCGCACCGGAAGTGAATTTGTGTTTCGGTCAATTTTCGACTTTTTTGTTTTTGAATATTTTTTCAAGATATTTAGAGGCATAATAGAGATCGATCCATAGAAGCCAAATATATAATTTGTTTTAAAATCAGATTACGCGTTTTGAAGATTTAGGCTACTTTCGTTTCGCATTTATAAAATCAAAGTACTGAAAGTACCGATGGAGCATTTTTTTACTTTAAATTACATAAAGGTTATGTTTACATGTTTCTCTTCATACAAAATCAATACATACAGTCTCGTATAAATTAGGTTGACGACTTAAAATTGCCATAAAAATCAAAGTACTTTAAGTACTGAGAGGACTGTTTTACATACCAACCTTTTTCTCACTACAGTGTACATGTAGTATAAACTGGCATTTTTTTCTACACATTAACATCAATGCATACAATAAGTGACCTATGGAAGCTATTTTCGTCAACCAGTAAAAATCAAAGCACATGTAACGAAAGGACTGAAAGGATATTTTTTGGTAGTAAAAATCAAAGTACCGTAAGTTCTGAGACATTGTTTTCTAGATACTCACCCATTAAACTTAAAATAGTTAAAATATGCTTCTTGATAAGAAAAATTGCACGCATACAGTAACATATATGAAGACAACATATACATTCATTTTTGCAGTAAAAATCAAAGGACTGCAAGTACAGAAAGTACTAGTTCTTTACAATGTTAAAATTATTACTTTATGTACATGTTTCTCTACATACAAAAATCAATGTAAACGGTATCATACAGGAACGGGAGACTTTTTTGTTGCCATGGCAACAGGAGTCTAGTTCTTATTATTTTTCTTCCTGGGAAAATTTTGTCCGCGAGTGATCTTGTAAACTACACATCCGACTAAGGTAAAATGTTTTTAGGGTCAGTAGACATGTTATGTAGATTTGCCGAACAAAGGTCATTTTGCGCGCACGTGCTTGCAAGAGCGCGCACGTGCAACACGTGAAATGACCGATTTCATTGATATAGGCGTAACTTTTTTAATTTTTGATGAAATGCTTTGAAACTCATAATGTAAGGATATATTAGTAATATAGACAAGATGACATGGTCAAAATAGCAAGATCTCACGCGCATGCACGTGCGCTATGCTCTGATTGGCTGAAACGAAAGTCTCAATATCTTTCTTGTTTTTTGACGAAATCCTTTGAAATTTTGAACATAGCCATGCATTAGGATATCCTACAGCATGATATATAGAAATTATCATGAAAACACGTGCATGCACGTGCGCTGCAATCTGATTGGCTGAAACTTTAAATAGCTATAACTCCCTTGGTTTACAACCAAACAGGATGGGATTTGGAACATAGATATATAAAATGGACTTCTACAAGAAAGTATGGTCACCATGCACATGCATACACGTGCGTGTATGTGAGCTGCAATTTGATTGGCTGAAACTTTAAACAGTTATAACTCCCTTGGTTTTCAACCAAACAGGATGGGATTTGGAACAAAGATAGATGTAATGGACCACTTCACGAAAGTATGGTCACCATGCACATGCCTACACATGCGTGTATGTGCGCTGCAATCTGATTGGCTGAAACTTTAAACAGCTATAACTCCTTTGGTTTTTTGAACCAAACGGGATGGGATTTAGAACATAGATAGAAGAATGGACCTCTTCAAGAAGGTATGGTCACCATGCTCAAGAATGCACGTGCGTGCACGTGAAATGAGCAAAATCAAGAATACACTTGAATGAGCGAATTTTTTAAATACTTTTGGATTAAATACTTTAATATTTAGTATATTAAAATATATAGATTGTGTAGACAACATGATATGGTCATTATGTACATGATTCACATGCGCACACATGCAATGCTAAAATTTGAATGAGCATGCTACATTTCTGGGTAAACGTTGTTTAAGTCTCAAATGCATAGAGTTTGTGTTATTTAATGAAGCTTACAGGGAATATGGCACCAAAAGGTAGTTGGGGAGCGTTTGGGGAACATCTGTAACGGTTCCCGTTACAATTAGCACTAGTTATTATTATTTTTCTTCTTCTTCTTCTTCTTCTTCTTCCTGGGTACTTTTTTGTCCGGGAGTGATCTTGTAATCTACACATCCGACTTAGGTAAAACCTTTTTAGGGTCAGTAGACATGTTATGTAGATTTGTGGAACAAAGGTAATTTTGCGCGCACGTGCTTGCAAGAGCGTGCACGTGCAACACGTGAAATGACCGATTTAATTGACATAGGCGTAACTTTTTACCTTTTTGATGAAATGCTTTGAAACTCATAATATAAGGATATATTAGTAGTATAGACAATATGACATGATCAAAATAGCAAGATCTCACGCGCATGCACGTGCGCTTCGCTCTGATTGGCTTTCTTGTTTTTTGACGAAATCCTTTGAAATTTTGAACATAGCCATGCGATAGGATATCCTACAAAATGATATATAGCAATTATCATGAAAACACGTGCAAGCACGTGCGCTGCAATCTGATTGGCCTAAATTTCAAACAGCTATAACTCCCTTGGTTTTCAACCAAACAGAATGGGATTTGGAAAATAGATAGATATAATGGACTTCAACAAGAAGGTATGGTCATCATGCACATGCATACACGTGCGTGTACGTGCGCTGCAATCTGATTGGCTGAAACTTTAAGCATCTATAACTCCCTTGGTTTTCAACCAAACGGGATGGAATTTAGAACATAGATAGATGTAATGGACCTCTACAAGAAGATATTTTCAACATGCTCATGTATGCACGTGCGTGCACGTGAAATGAGTAAAATCAAAAATACACTTGAATGAGCGTATTTTTTAATACTTTTGGATTAAATACTTTAATATTTAGTATATTAAAATATATAGATTGTGTAGACAAGATGATACGGTCATTGAGCACATGCATTCTCATGCGCACGCGTGCAATGCTAAAATTTGAATGAACTTGGCGTTGTTAAAGTCTCAAATGCATAGATTTTGTCCTATTTTATGAAGCTTACAGGGAATATGGCACCAAAAGGGAGTTGGGGAGCGTTTGGGGAACATCTGTAACGGTCCCCGTTACAATTAGCACTAGTTTTGATTGATTTTGAATTAAATGACATAAAAAGTCACTTTAATACTCTTTGCTGTTAAAAGTTGCGATTTTGTGACATTTCCTCATAAATCTAGATAGAAATTATGCAACGTATCTTTTGCTATTATAACAAAATCATACAAAATTTCCAAATTACTCCTCGTGATATGCTAAATTTTGTTGATTTCATGGAATCATAGAACTTTGTTGTTGGTAATCAGAAGTAAAAGGTTTTTAAAGGAAACTGCATGGTAATTAATAATATTTATAAATGTTCCAGAAAGCTATATAAAAGACAACGCATATTAATACATCATCAACATATCATTCTACTCGATTTCATCATCTGCTGGCATGCATGCATAGCCTGCAACTTGTAAATCAAACTTAATTTGCTGTGACTAAAATCAACACTACACCTTAGATTGTGTGAATTGACAATTTACCTGCACGGACAAGCTTGTAATAAGGCCTTTGAACTTGAGGGTGTAATCGGCATTGTAATTCATAACAACCTCGTCTCTTGCTGAATCCAAGTCCTCTACACTTCTTGCCGTCTACACAACCTTGTCAAATAATTAGGAAAAACTCTTTTCAAAGTTATATCTAGTGTTTTTTCGCTTTTGATATAATGTTATCTTGTTTAAAATCTATCATTTCGGAAGTTCTATGGTAAACACAATGATTTTGTCAAGATCAGGAAATTCAATATATGATAAAGTCAAATGCTGATGAACGATTTTATACTAATTGTTACGTTATTATTTCAACAATGAAATGTCTACGGATTTTCCCGTTATTTTCATCATGATAAGGTGCAAACGGCTGGTATAACCGGTCAGCAAGGGATGCTAACTTCTTGATGGCACCTGATCACGCCCCTAATGTTTTAGAGGTCCGTGTTTGCTTTGTTCCTGACTTTTATTACTTGAATGGACATTGAGTCTTGAATAATGTTCATTATAATTCATTTAATGATAAGTCCTACCTTGGTGTAGCTTTTTAACAGAGTACTCCGGATAAGATCCGCTCCTTTGTTTTGTACATGTGTACTGGATACACATGCTGCCTTTATTCTCTGTCCAAATACTGTTTTCAGGTATACATTTATTGTTCCATGCACAACCTTTATTAACAAAAGTGAAATAAATTTCAACAAAACACCAGTAGCACGAATTGTATACTGCGGTATTCAATCTGATTTCTTTATAATATTTTATGAGATTCCATTACCTCCCTTTAAGACCTCAAGGTATCGCATGTTCTTTTGATATGATTTGCAGAGGTGCCATACACAA